CCACCCGAACTAGTGATACGCAGTGAAGTAGTTCAGCGTGTAGACCGCTTCACTTATCTCGGAAGTCTCATCAGCCCTTGTGGTCTGGTATGTGACGAAATCTCAGCATGGATACAGAACAATCGACTAGCTTTTGCAAACTTGCGTCATTTGTGGCTTAGACGAGATATCCGTCTATCAACCGAAGGACGTGTTTACTGTGCAGCAGTTCGTTCCGTCCTACTTTATGGCAATGAAACATGACCGGTAAGAGTAGATGATATTCGTAGGTTACTAGTATTCGACCATAGATGTCTTCGAAACATTGCTCTTATATCCTGCCACCACCGAGTAAGTAACTCAGTCGTTAGGAGACGGGTACTCGGAAAGGATGGCAAATCGATTGAGGAAGTAGTGAAACTTCTTCAGTTCAGATGGATGGGACATGTGCTGCGCATGCCCAACCACCGACTGCCCCGACGTGCGATGTTTTATGGTGTAGGAGTAGGTTGGAAGAAAGGTAGGGGCGGCCAGACCAAAACATGGCACAAATCCATGAAGTCACTGACAAGTAGACTGAGCCATGTTGGTAGGTGTAGACTACCTAGATGGGGTGCGCGAGACGATAGCAACCGATGGTTATAGACCTTGAATGACATGGCTTAAAATCGTTTGCAATGGCGCAGGTGCATCCACTCCTTGTGTTCTCCCAAATTCTAATCTTCTGAATTCTTCATGTCCTTTATTTTCATTCCAAATCTATTCTACTGGATTATACTCCTTAAATAACATCATCAAACCCTAATGTTCCCTATCACTACTTATACTTTCACTACTACTACGGGATTTGAATTGATAAGTGAATCTCTGTGCTAATGTGGTATGGCAACTCGAACTGATGTACGTACGTACGAAGCTCCACGTTGTTACTGACTGACTGACGTCTAACCTCACTATTACTTACCCGGTGATCCCAGAAGATACCAGCAATATTTCTAAGGCATCTGTGGTCAAATACTTGTAGCTTACGAGTATCTTCTACTCTTAATGGCCATGTTTCGCAGCCGTAAATTAGAACAGAACAAACTGCCGTGCAGTATACTCGTCCCTTAATCGGTAGACAGATATCTCGCCTTCGCCATATGTGACGTAAGTTGGTAAAAGCCAAACGAGCTTTTCGAATCCGTGCTGAGATTTTGTTAGACACCAACCCATTAGGGCTGATCAGACTTCCAAGATAAGTGAAGTTGTCAACGCGTTCGACTACTTCACCCCCTATCCTTAGTTCAGGTGTTGACGCAGACCAGTCCTGAAGCAACAACTTGCATTTAGAGGGAGAGAAGCGCATCCCAAACATCCTGGCATTGTTGCTCAGTGCTATCAAGAGACTCTGCATTGTATCAGCGCCTTCACCAAACAGGATTATATTGTCTGCGTATTCTAAGTCCATAAGCGGACCATTTGGTAGGAGATCAATGCCCGAAAATTCAGTCAATGAGAGTGTTATTTCCATCAGGAGGTCTATGATAAAGTTAATAAAAATAGAGAAACTAGACAGCCTTGATGGACACCACGCACTTCTGAGGAGTCCCACAATAGGACGAAACGGCCGTCCAGTGCTTCCAGAATTTCAATGGTTGTCTGACATCAATCAGTTCATGATCACAATTAAAAACTTTTTAATCTCCACAAACCCTATACTAATAAATTCTTTTTCTTACAATAATTAAAGGTCATAGAAGAGTAAAAAAATAAGTAAAGTGATATGACGAGTACTTATGAATAAAATAATGGGAATATGAGACGTAAGTAATAATAATAATAAAGGCCAAGTTAACGATATTTATTTTAGCACATAGATATTGGTACAAGGATGCACCAAATACATATGCGCCACACAGATCTCATTGGATATGTGTGAGGGCTGTGATACTGCCCGGGTGCCCAAACCGAAACAGGTGGTTTTCATAGGGGGCCACACCCCGAGCCTTCGTCGACCTGAAGATCTGACCCACAAGGCAGTGGAGCATCGTAAGGAGATGCAGTCCGATGGTAGCCGGTGACCAACGATTGGTTCATACGCCATTTGTTCCTTCAGGATACTGGAGCCAGCCCATGTGCACCATTGATTTGGGATCCGGTTAAAGCCGGTGCCGGACATTCGCTTTTCGTCCTTTCATTTTCGTAAACAACACCCGTGGTGCGAGAATGCAGTGAGTAGGAATTCCCTTCCAGAGGCTATATACGCATGGCCATGTGAGAGTATTTCGAGAGGGAGAGCGGACTCTCCCCACTCTCGGCCATACCAGGGCATTTGGGGGCGTACTTCTTTTGTACGCATGGTTCTGACTTGGCCTCATGGATTTGCCTGGTAAATATTAGAAAATTTAGTAAAATAAATTGAAATCAATAATTGAGATCATGAGTCCATTGAAGCTAGATCAGCATGTAACACCGTTTCGTCCTATTGTGGGACTCCTCAGCAGTATGCATCCACGACCCCGTCATGCGGGATTCGAACCTACGACCTATCAGTTTTACATCTGAAAATAAACTTTGAATACAAATTGATTGAAAATATAAAATTAAATTTATTTCCCTTACGTGATTTTCTTAAAATGAATCGTTTCGTTAAAATCACCATTAAAATTAATTATTTCATAAGTTTGAATTATGGTCATTTTTGGTAACTGAAATAGATGTAACAGGTTAAAAACTCTATGCTATCTGCATCGAGTTATCCATTTAATTACTGAGTCTTGTTATCTACTAACTAAGGGGATAATGCAATAACATTTGAATTGAACAGTACTGGTTTCGAGTACCGAAGTTACATCAACTGTGGGATGCAAGTACATCCAGTTGATGAGTCCCGAATAGGATTTATTTATTTAAACACAAAAACATTAGTACATAGAGGCATCAAATAGATATGCGACACATAAATCATTAGATTTGTGTGAGGGATGGGATACTGACCGAGTACGCAAACTGATGCAGGCCCAGACCAAAGCAGGTGGTTTCCTTAGGGGGCCACACTCCGAGCCTTTGACCTAAACGCCTGATTCACAAGACAGTGGAGCAACCTAAAAAGATGCAGTCTGATGGTAGCCTGTCACCAATCATTTGTTCATACGCCATTTGTCCCTTCAGGATATTGAAGCCCATGTGCACCATTGGTTTGGAATTATGGATTTCTATCTCCCCTAACAGGGATCCTCCATATCCACTAAGCCGGTTAAAGCGCCAGAAATTCGCTTTCCGTCCTCTCATTTTCGTAAACAGCATCCTCGCCACGAGAATGCAGTGAGTAGAACTTCCATGACAGTGGCTGCATACGCGCGATCATGTTAGAGCATTTCAAGAGGAACAGCTGACTCTACCCACTCTTGGCCGTACCAGCTCATTTGGGGGCGCATCGAGTTTAGATTTCCAGATTGTTTTAATCTGAATATTACGTTACTGTTAATATCTGTTGCTTTGCATATTAAATGTAAGTGTATTTTCTAGGTCATGGATTCATCTTTTATTATTCTCTTATTCAATTCCCCTTACTAATGTTATTCTGAGTGTTCCCCTAGTAAACAAATTAACTTCTGGTTAGACGAGAATCGCTGAAGAGGATCAATAAAAATGCAATGATGTAATGTATTAAAATGTAATTGGTGTTTAGTGAAAAATAAAGTGTATCAAAATGAATGATTCAATTCATAATATTTGATTAATGATTATCATTATGATGATTTTAATTTTCTTAATTTATGCAAGGAACCAATCGAGTTATATTCGCTGGAACAACCGTTCCTCAAGGTCCTACCATGCCAGACAGGTCGGTTGAAGAACGTAAAGACTAAAAGCAACAAATCTAAGGTCTAAACACGAAGTCGTACTGCTGACTGTACAGAGGTGTGACAACAGTAAGGTGTTTCCTTCAGACAACCAGCATCACAGTGACGCTGCCTTCCCACAAGGAGAGGTGAGATTAGAAAACGTCGGCCGTAAAAATGCACACCTTGCCTTATCCCATGGATATCCGTCTCTGGCTGTAAGGTCTCAACAAGTACGGAGCTAACACGAAAATTACTCACAAAAGGTCGTGTGTGACCGCCCTCAAACAGATGTTCCCTGAGCACCGTGGTCACGCCTTCAGGTCACTAACACCACCTCCAACTAATCAGAGATGAATCATAACTGTGTATATGAGTTCATCATTAAATAGTGGCTAACAAATTACAATGAAACTCACTATACATCATTAAGGGAGAAATACATTGAAGAGAAAATAAACCATTCCGACGATATTAATTTACTGATCCTGTACAACTGTATACACGATTGGCAGATACAAAGGGTTGTGCAAGATCATGAATTGATTGAAATTAGACATTAGCACCGTTGGATGACTGCGCGGTGGTCTAGATTTTAAATGTTCGCACACGAAACTGAAGGTCCTAGATTCGAATCCCTTGAGCGGGATCAATAAGTAATTCCATACTAGGACGAAACTGTTGTTCAGTGATTTCAGATTTTCAATGGTGGTTTAACTTAGATTAACTCATAAATCCAACTTTGAGAATACGAAAGCGTAGAATTGGTTTTTGAAGCTTAACTAATTAATTTTAACGGATACCAACAAGTTGTTTCCATTCTATAATAGAAGTAAACTATCACCTAGCAATATATATATTCAATCTAACCGTTAAACTTACAAACAGGACGAAGAAACTGTAATCGATTTATCTATATCATGAATTAATGGGAACGGCAAAGCTAGGACAAAGTTACAGTTCCGTCTAACATTTAACTAAAGATTTGGATACGCTCTGTAAATAACATATTTGTTATCTTCCTGTTTTGTTTTGAAGTAGGCTAAAGTATGGTAATCCTGAAATTACAAACCATTGGGAAATTCTTACAAAATAAATGAGACCTGTGTGAACTAGAAAGACCTGGCAACAAATACGCTACAACAATTCAACATTAATAATTCCCAAACGAATGAGAGAAGACTGAGCTTTTGGGATGGTTATCACATCAGCAACAGAAGTCAAAATTGTGATGAAATAACACTGTCTGTACAGAAACAAGTGTGGTTTTCAGGTACATCACAAAAGTAGCAAACTAGAAGCAAGAACAATCAATCATATAACTGAAAGTCACTGCGGAAATCAAGATTATAGGCTATCGCAGTTGCCCTAACACATGAAGACTAAACTTTTTAAAAGAGAAACTAGATAACTTAAAGTTTTCACTGCACTTCTGAAGAGATTAACTCGAAATCACTAATAAGTTGGACAGTAACATCTTTGATGACCGCAACCTTACAAAAGAAGAATCAAGAAATGATATCTCATTCTCGGATTTCTTAATCTGTAAAGTAAATAATAGAATCACAAGTATACAGGAAGTTAAGTTACATAGAACAAACATTAAATTACAACATGAGCAACCCAACAGCAAACAACAAATGTTGTATGCAGTCAAAACTCAAAATAGCATTGTTAACTTACTAAAAGTTGAGTAAACTAATTTCATGTCCACCTACCGTAAGAAATGAAAGCTGTACAGTTTCATCAAAAATGAGCTTAGCAAATTGACATACCACTACGAGATCACTTTCGTGAATTAGAAAACAGTGTCCTACCAAATATGGAAAACATTGCAGACATTTCAGCATCAATGTCGCAAACAAACCAACATATTTATTTCATTCCATTTCACTCAGAAAAAAAAACACAAGTTAAAAATATGCACCGTTATCAACAGAACGAATTGTACTAACTGAGAGAAACAATATATTGAACAAAGTAAACGATCCTTTTACCTACGTATACACAGACACATATTGAAGGTGACAAGACACGATCTGCTGTTGCTGATTTTAATGTATCCAGAAAATTGTGGAAAAAAGGACAGTTGAGAAAATATCGAAATTCGTTATTAAGGAAATTTCAGTAGCATTGCTTTGTATCAATGTAAACATCAAACATAGAGAAACATTTTATACATGAAATTACGACTATAACTAGTGGATATGATAATTTTAAATAAAAGTGATAAACTACTTATTAGTAAACAAAACATTTCAACAACAATTTTACACAAGATTTAAGACTTTTACACATTCATCATTTCTTCACAAATCTATCTTTTTAAGTTCAAAACTGTACTGTTCTCTGTGAGGCTTATTAACATTATCCATAGAAATAAGATGGATCTGTACTGAAAATCTAATCATTAAAAGTAAAATACACCGGTAATAAATCCCCGATCCATGTGTTGAAATAACCGAATAAAGACCATCCGCTTCTTCATAGAAATAAATCACCATTCATAAATTATAAGCCTAATTACTGAATAATTAAATCAGAGTAACACATACAAACAAACAGTGAACAGGCGAATCAATTGAATAAGTCATATCTGTCTATAAAAAAGAAAAAGAAAAACGTAACACCATAGAGGATGAGTTTTACTTAAACCGTGCAAACGTTTCACATTATATATATATATATATATATATATACTACTGAAATAGTGGATACTAATATCGCACAAGCCTTCAAATGGGTTTAAAAACAAAAAGATCAACAAAAAAATCAAAGAGAGAAAGATAATTGACTTAGTTACCATGACAAGTATTATCATTTATAGTATATGTGTATCTTTAAGTTATATCATAATGATTACATAACGAAATCAAGATATATGTATATATAGTAAATGAAAGAGATTTCTTCAGATTGAAAATAAATGATACATTATTTCAAATTTTTTTTAAAAAAAAAGAAGAAAAAAGAGGATAGGAAAAGAAAAACAATACTTATTCAAGCAGGAAAACAAAAGAGTCAAGAAATTGTATAGTTACAGTATACAAACAAGATAAATGACCTTGATCACATATCCCAGCAACAAAAAAAACAAAAAAAAACAAGATTGAAAGAATTGAAATTTTCAAGGTATTGAATTTAAGAATTTTTACGGCTTCTTCGATTGTAACCATTGTTTTCAAGTTTAGAATCACGTCGTACAACTGATTCATTAGTTCGTGTTATCCTAGAATTACTACTATCAGTTGTGGTAGACCAACTATCATTATCAATTGATCCCCATCCATGATCATTGCTTAAATCCCAATCACAGGTTTCACTATTATTCCAGTTGGTATTTGACAATGAAGTTTCTAAACAATAATATGAAAGATATTTGTTTGTTTAAATAATCATTCATTTTAGGATTATCTATTTCAAATAACTTATAGAGTTTATCCAATAAATGATATGGACTAATCTACATGAAATATTAACAAAGGATCAAATTAAACATGGAATTGAAATCATAGAACAAAGAATGGAAAACAAGGTATGAAACTCAAACACTAAAAAGCCTATAAACAAGTAAGATAATGCTACTTATCTTTTTTGATATTTATGACAGAGTTCACCACGAATCTATTCCTAAGGAACAAACAACCAATACTGCCTTCTATGTTCAGGTTTTTAAGAGTATTAGCAGCCTTTTGAATGCTATATGATGAACGGCTGATGCATGAAGACATTTTACTAAAAAACTAAGTAATGACCTAAAACATGACAAGATGTAAAACAGCAAGGTAACTGAAGTCTGACTTTTGAGGATTTATAGTGAGGGGGAAGTGTTTAAAACAATGGAAACGAAGATGGCTCAAGTAGATTTTTCACAAAATAAGGTGTATTTTGAATGAGATAAGGTCAACCTAGTCCGAAAATCACCAAATACAGTACTTATAATCTCACGCTGCATTTCTTAAAAAACTACATATAAGGCAAAAAGTACACGGGATCGTGGATGCGCACTGCTGAGGAGTCCCACACTAGGACGAAACGGCCGTCCAGTACTTTCAGGTTTTTCATTTACTTACTTACTTGGTGGTCTTTATTTATTTATTTATTTATTTATTTCAACACATAGATATTGGTAGAAGAAGGCACCAAATACATATGCGCCGTAAAAAAATCTCATTGGATATGTGTGACGGCTGTGATACTGTCCGGGTGCCCAAATCGAAGCAGGTAGTTTTCTAAGGGGGCCACACCCGAGCCTTCGTCAACCTGAAGATCTGATCCACGAGGTAGTGGAGCATCGTAAGGAGATGCAGTCCCATGGTAGCCGGAGACCAACAATTGATTCATACACCACTCGTTCCTTCAGGATAGTGGAGCCAGCCCATGTGCACCAATGGTTTGGGATCCGGTTAAAGCCGGTGCCGTACATTCGCTTTTCGTCCTCCCATTTTCGTAAACAACACCCGTAGTGCGAGAAGTCAGTGAGTAGGACTTCCCTGACAGAGGCAGTATACGCGTGGCCATGTGAGAGCATTTCAAGAGGGAGAACAGACTCTCCCCACTCAGCCGTACCACGGCATTTGGGAGCTTATTCATACAACTAGTAGTCTTGTCAGTAATCTCTAATCATTCAACGACTTCTGTCAATAATACTGTCTCGTAACTAAGCATCACTCGATCACATATAATATCATTGTGTTCATCTATGAATAACCATTCTACACAGTGAATTTATTAACTGAAATCCTGTTTCATTAGTCATCAAAAACCTCGTCCATAACACAGTCGCATACGAAACATTCTTTATTTTAAAAGTGGACGAACAAAAAAAGCATTACCTTTTCCTTCACTTCTATTAAACGGATCAGTTCCATGTTGTAGGTGTCGATCAAGAAACATTGAATTGGAACGACCTTGTTCACGATTACTAGCAAAGAATGATTAAAAGAAATATAAAAATTCAAATAAATCAATAATTCTTTGAGCTTTGATTTCATGACAACCACACAATAATAGAAGATAAGTCTAATTGACATCTTCGTATTCTAATTGCTTACTAGGGATTAAAAAAAAAAGCTCTTTAGATCAGTAAAGAGTAAGGATTTTCAGCTATTGTTCATAGACATGTGTTATTAGTTCAAGAGAGAACATATTATTTTAATGGATTCGATAATATAATGATCCTATTTAATGGATATAAGAAAAAATTGAACTATCGAAGACTAAATAACAGTGAAGAAAGTTGTCACGTCTTAAACTTAGGATTCTCCACAACAGTACAAGCCTATAATCCACATCAGGATACAAACCAAGGAAAATTGAATATAGGAAACAAAATAAGATAAATAACTAAGTAATAAACAAGCTAATTCGAAAGTAAACTACTAGAATTCATCAACAATTACATATCAATAGTAATCAGTTACATCAGTCACCTCAGTCAGTCAGTCAGTAACAACGTGGAACTTCGTACGTACGTACATCAGTTCGAGTTGCCATACCATATTAGCATAGAGATTCACTTATCGATTCAAATCCCGTAGTGGTAGAGATAGTGAAAGTATAAGTAGTGATAGGGAACAGTAGGGTTTGATGATGTTATTTAAGGAGTATAATCCAGTGGAATAGATTTGGAAATAGAACCAGTAGTAGTAGTAGTAGTGTTCATGCACAATCGATTTAACTTCATTAGTGTGATTATTCAATTGAAGCAGATAAACGGTTTGAATCCAATCAATTCTACTACAATGGTTTTGATCTCTCTCTGAAATTTCCCTTGATATCTCATAGATTATTACTTTTTATTACTTATAAAAACTATTATATAATGAATTAATTAACTTTGTAAAACTTGATAAATCTTCTAATCGAACGCTTGATTCAATTTCCTAAGCTCTTCTAGTAACCTCCAGGCGAAATCTATACGGCAACTTGAACACGAGAGGAAAAAGTGTGAAATATAGGAAGAACACTTTACTCCAAGGTTAGTTTATATACAGAAAATTTAGGGTATTTATAGTATTTCATATGGCCTTAGGCTTCTGGAACCATTTCTAAACATAATAGCAGGATAATTAATCGTCCAATCAGTAATATGACAGGTGGCTTTTCACTTTCTAGATCTTTCTGAGAAACTGATATTGCATGTTGATTGCATAAAATGCTTACCAGTTTTCAGGGCCGCTTTGAGCTTCTTTCGAGGAATTTACTGGGTATCCCTAACAAAACCCCACTATTTTACTACAGACTATTACAAATAGAAAAAACTGCCTATAAATATACTATTGTACATTTTCATGATGTGTGGACGAGAATGATAATGATTAGTTGTCTGCTTAGTCAGACATGTAGATAGTCTGACAGGTGTCAGATGAGTTATATATTCCCCTATCCTTATAATTATTATTACCCACTTATTATTGATTGTTCATTGTTGTTGGATTGTGTCGGGTTTTGGTGTGGAAATATATCTACGTTGTGGTCAGGCTAATCCTCGTGTTCTTGATCTGAGTTGTGTTGAAGTCCTATAGAACAGACACTGGGAGGGAATCTAGTATAGATAATCGTTTAAGGTAAATTAACACCCAATACGTGTAAACGTGGAAACCCAACTGTTATAACATTAAACGAAGTAAAACTGAGCGTTATACCACTTCAGAAAACAATATCATCAAGAAGAAAATTTACTTCGCTGAAAATGTCTTGATTCTTTTTAAATAAGTTTTCTTGAAGTTAAACTGATTTATATCAGAAGAGATTTTTTCGGATATTATAGTAATTTCAATAGTCGAGATCATGAGTCAATTGAAGTTAGACCACCATGGAAAACCTGGAAGAATTGGACGGCAGTTTCTTCCTATTGTGGGACTGCTCAGTAGTGCGCATCCACGACCCCGCCTCGCGAGATCCGAACCCAGCATCTATCAGTCTCGCGCACGAGCGCTTAACCACTAGACCACTGAATAGGCCGGGATAGAATGTTGTTAATGTCTATCTCCGACTAATCCACGATATTAATCAATATATGCGCACTAGTGACTCGCTTTAAGAGGTATTTCCTGGAGTTCTAGTGAGAAACAATGAACAGTGAAGTTCAATCGGGTCTGTTGTGAGATAGTAACTCATTGATGACAATGGTGGATGTGTCGCTCAATTTCGTGGATTGATTGATGTTAGACATTAACATCGTTGGATGGAGGCTCAGTGGTCTAGTGGTTGAGTGTTAGTGCGCAAGACTAGTAGGTCCTGGGTTAGAATCTCGCGAGGCGGGGTCGTGGATGCGCACTACTGAGGAGTCCCATATTAGGACGAAACGACCGTCCAATGCTTTCATGTTTTCCATTGTGGTCTAGCTTCAATCGACTCATGATCTCAACTATTGAAATTAAAATGATTTAACCAATTTCTATTGTCAATATCTATGAATTATATTATAAGACGATTAATACGGATATTTGATTTTATCAATGGATTGAAGGTTATTTTGAAAATAATTCTTATTATTAAAGATTAACAACGGTAATTAGTTTAGTAGTAGTCTATACAGATGTTTCATTTATTGGGGGAAACCTGAAAGTTATGCGTTCAATTGATGTTGGTGCATAGTGAGAAATAACTTCTTCTTAACATTAAGGGGTAATATATTGTCTGATTTCCACAGTCTATGGCTATCAACAAATTAGTTACTAGCTAGAGAATGAATATGATTGTACGCATATATTCATACCAAATCGATATGGGTAGAAACACTACGAAACCTATACACATACACTAAATTTTGAAGAAAATAATAGCCAGTATTAAATAATACACAGTCTAACAGCATTCTTCTATACATAACATAATGTTCTAGTGAATTAAATACCATCTAACTATTAAATAGTAGAAAATTAAACGCCTGAATCAATAATCTATCACTTGATTCACTATAATGCATTAGAAGTGAACGTGCACTGCTGAGTTTCATACTAGGAGGAAACAACAGTCTAATGCTTCTAAGTTTCTAACGGTTGTCTAGATTAAATCGGTTCGTGAAATCAATGAAAAGTATAAATAAGTGGTTGTTCGCTGTGTGTTTGTAATAGATAATCAGTGGGTTGAATCAGAGTAAAAAGTGGCCCGAAAGTGACACTACTCCACAAAGATATCGATTGTTAGATTGAGCCGTGATGATACATACAGACTACTTGATTGGCGTTCACATGATTATCGCGATCAATTTTTGGAAAAATTGGATAATATAACTCGAAACCAGTCACAATGTCACAGATTCATTCACTCTTCCTTAAAATACTTAAACTTTCCCTTCGAATCATCTTTTCTACTACCACTGGTACTGTTATTGCTACTAATCTGATATTTGTTTTTATAACTTCGCTTTATAATATCGGCGTGACAACTTGAACCGATGTACATGTATCAGATTCTATATTGATTGTTATTGTATAACTGATTTTCATAACCAATTGAGCAAATAGTGAGTTACATATCAATGAGATACACTCTTCATTGTACACACAATAGATCGATGGTATTCATACTAATCTATACTTTTAAGTGATGACATTCACATTCAACTGTATATAAATGAATTAAATTGTTAAAACCTACCTAAAATGAGTAGATCCATATGATTTATCAGAATTTCCAGTAGATAGATCTGATTCAGGATTACTAGTCCAATAAGATTCAAAACTTCGAATTCCTTGAGCTTTCACTGTTTGTAACTAGAAAAATGTATAAAACAATTATTTCTTTTAAAATTAGAACCTAATTAACCTAGATCTAATGAAATATTTGAAAAAAAAAAACACGTTGACGACAGACAAATCAATAAAACGTTTACAAAAAAAAAAAACAACATGATTGATCGTAAGATGAGGTCGTATTAAACATTTTTATAACCCGCATTGCCGTCAATCACCTTTATTATTACAGAAAGATCCTTGAACTAGTTCTTGTTTATAAAATTTCCACTTGATCGAATGGACTAAAATTTCAAAAAATTAAAATGATTCGATCAATTACTCCACCAACAATATGGTTAATGATCCTAATAGCTCAATAATAATGTCTCTAACTGCAACACCATTGATTGCCTATACTACACATTAATAAATTTTCTCTATCGGTTAGGTCACAATAAATAGGGGACATAAGATGATTTGATAAACACTTAACCATTCACTGAAACACATTAATTTACATCCGAATAATGATCATTTCAGATAATATTGATAACCAGAGTAAATGTTTCCCTTTAATTTGGCTTTCAACCAACGTCATATTTATTAAATGGTTGTACATCAAATACTTTAAAAGTCTTAAGAACTAAATAGAAGTAATTTTACTTAACCTTAATAGGCTACAAACTAGTTATCATCGCGTTTCATTGATTTTAATTTTGTGCGAATAATTAATAGTTGCTATCTTGAAACTGATTGATTTTTTTAGTATATTTTAAGTAATTTATCACTTAAATTAGTCTTTTTACAATAGGTATAACTTAAAGTTTCATGTATATATTAGCATTTAGCTATGAACTACGAAAAATACTGATCATTAAGTTCATTCTATTTAGTCTATTCACTTTTAATCGTTTGACAGATCATGTAATTTTAAACAACAACAAAAGTTTAAAGATTAAGCACTCGTGTACAATACTGAAAGACTTAGGTTCAATTAACGGTCGCAGAGTCGTCAACGCCTACTGATGAGGAGCCCCACACTAGGACAAAATGGTTATCCAATGCTTTTAGGTTTTCAGTGATGATCTAACTAAGAAAAGTGAAAAGTGGACACAAATTTACTCTATTTTTTTACAATAACTCGTTAAAATGATCGACCTATGATTAACGCAAAGGTATATAATCAAGTATTTAGCTTAATTGTAAAGGCAATTTTTAAGTTATCATGCAGGATACAACTTTATGGGCTAAAAGTCACTACAATAATAAAATCATACACACACATACACACGCACATATCCTGACCTTAGAACACATGCATATTAATAAAACAGACTAGTTACTAACCTTTGAAGTGACAGTATCAACACCTTTTGATAATGAATCCAAAATATTGCTATCTTTAACCTTTTTTTTTCAAAATATAAAAAATACAACAAGAAATGAACAACATGGATTATTTGACAATGACAGTGACTACAACTACAATTACAATAACAACAAATGTTCATTAAAACAGAAAACATACGAAAACACCAATAGTTTTGATAGTTAAATTATTCAGTTTAAATTATTTTTGCCCTGTGGTTATTATTTCAAATTAGTTTTGAATGTATGATTTAGCAAGCAATCAAATATAAACATTTGAGTATATAGAGGCACTTAGAAACTTACACTTTTGTATCGAGATAATTAAACAAGAGTTATTTAATTTTTTTGAACACATGTCCCCAAATGCCCTGGTATGGCCAAGAGTGGGGAAAGTCCGCTCTCCCTCTCTAAATGCTCTCACATGGCCACGCGTAGATAGCCTATGCCACGGAAGTTCTACTCACTGCCTTCACGTGGCGAGGGTGTTGTTTACGAAAATGAGAGGACAAAAAGCGAATGTCCGGCACCGGCTTTAACCGGATCCCAAACCAATGGTGCACATGGGCTGGCTCCAGTATCCTGAAGGAACAAATGGCGTATGAACCAATTTCTTGGTCGCCGGCTACCATCGGACTGCATCTCCTTACGATGCTCCACTGCCTTGTGGATCAAATCTTCAGGTCGAAGGCTCGGGTGTGGCCCCCTAAGAAAACCACCTGCTTCGGTTTGGGCACCCGGACAGTATCACAGCCCTCACACATATCAAATGAGATCTGTGTGGCGCATATGTATTTGGTGCCTTCTTGTACCAATATCTATGTGTTAAAATAAATAAAATAATAAATAATTTTGAACACATAAACATTGGTACAAGGAGACACCAAATACATATTCACCACGCAGTAACAATAAGGTCTGTAAGAGTTATCAATGATTAGTTTGAGGGCTGCGATTTTACCCGGATGTTCAAACCGAAGCAGGTGGTTTCCTTAGAAGGCGATTCACCGAGCCTTTGACCTAAAGGTCTAATCCATAAGGCAGTCGTGCAGCGTTAGGGGAAATTCAGTTCCGTGGTAGCCGACGACAAACAATAAATTAATACGCCATTTGTTTTCTTAGGATCCCGGAGCCCATGTTCACCGTTGGTTTGGAACGACAATTTTCCAACTCCTTCAAGTGAATCCTCCATTACCACCAACCCGATTAAAGCTCTGGATATTTGCTTTTCGTCCCCTCAATTTCGTAAAAAACACCCCCACCACAAATATTGAAATGTGTATTGTTCAATATCAAGTACATAAATCTATACTTGATAATTCAATTAAGAAATGATAAGATAGATTTACTACATAATATACATTATATGTAGGTATTTTGTTGATCAATTTTTTCCCCAGTATTAAATGAATGATACATGGAAATATGACGACGACGACAACAACAACAACAACAAAAATAAAAAAAAACAACTTTTCAACAACAAACATATGGAATGTATAGTAAACAAACCAGACTATAGGTTATAATTGAGAAATTAAAAAGCATCAAAAATCACTTTAGTGTGTTACTTGTGTACGGGTGTGTGTGTGTGTGCAAGGGTGTGGGTGAGTGTACTGCGTACTGTAAACTATAAAATCATATTATTATTATGTATAAAACAATCTAATTTTATGAGACTTTTTCAGTATAGTTCTTTTTTGTGACTTTAATATAACTCACTTTTTCTTGAACGGATTGAGTTAATTCTTTGGTTTTTTGTGTTGCTTGAGATGCTAATTGACTGGTACATTTAGCAGCTACTGAGGCCACTTGACTAACCATTGCCCAACCCTAAAATTACAAATTTAAAATTAACAAATAAGTTATGAATAAAATATATCAGTCAGTCAGTCAGCTGTAACGTAGGACCAGGCACATACATGCATCGGTTCAAGTTGCTATACCGCATTAGCACAACAAGATGAACACCGGATTCATAGAAGTAGACAACTCAATGTGGGTAATATATAAAAGAAAGATTGCATATAAGGGTATAATATAGGGAGAGTGAATTAATTCTTAGAAAGAAAGATATGAAGAGACTTTAATTTCATAGTTTAAAGGAAGACAGAGAGTGCATACACCTATGCCATTGTGATCGATCCTGAGCCATGTCACCCACAGTCTCCAACCATTGGTTACGATAGTCACACGGACCCCAACTAGGTAGTCTGAATCTACCAACATAGCTCAGACCAGAAGTTAGTGACTTCACACACCGATGCTACGTTTCGGTTTGACCGCCCCTAACTTTCTTCCAACCATCCCCAACACCAGTTAGCATTGCGCGTCGTGATAATCGGTGTTCAGGCATACACAACATATCGCCCAACCATCTCAGTCGATGAAGATTCATAACCTCATCAACTGATTTACCATCATACCCTAATACCCTGCGTCTAACCTCACTATTACTTACTCGGTGATCCCAGCAGATACCAGCAATATTTCTAAGGCATCCGTGGTCAAATACTTGTAGCTTACGAGTATCTTCTACTCTTAATGGCCATGTTTCGCAGCCGTATAGTAGAACGGAACGAACTGCCGTGCAGTATACTTGGCCCTTAATTGATAGACGAATATCTCGCCTTCGCCATAGATGACGTAAGTTGGCAAAGGCCAAACGAACTTTTGGAATCCGTGCTGAGATTTCGTCAGACATCAACCCATATATATATAATTATTTTTATTTCAAAAATTAGAATTCAGTGTTGTTATGCCTTTTGTTTGTTTGTTGCTTATTGTTTAATTTGTTCTTTAGTTATAATATACTGCTTTTAATGATGACACCATAAGGGGTTTGTGAAGATAGTTGAACTTCATAGTTTATGTTACAGACTGATGTTAACTAAGGTGTAATATATCAGGATGAAACAGCTATCCACTTTTTCATGTTTCTCAATGATTGTCTAGGATAATATTAGTAATTATATGTTCACTAAAGTAATTTCTAGATTTCTAGTAAGATGCTGTGAATAATGAAGTGGGTGAGGGTTTGTGGCAGTTACCCACTAATGGCACTGGAAAATTAGACATGTAAACCACTGGATCCCGACTGAATGGTCGAAAGATGAAGTGCTCATCATAAAGGTCTCAAGTTTAACACCTAATGAGGTCATGGATAACCATAGCTGAGAATGCCCATACTAGGACGAAACAACTATCTATTGCTCCCTGATTTTTAATAGGAAACTGATTAAAATCAGTTCGTAATGTGAACTAGGTAACAAAATAATGGCTTTCAACACAAATCAGTAAAAAAAAATTGTAGAAAACAAAAAACTTGAACTAACTTATTATAGTAGTACATGAAAACTAAGTAAATAAATCGAAGGAATCATAAATGAAAGCTTTCAAAACAGCATCACAATTACAAAAAGTAACCCAACAACTAACTGTTACAATTAATAATAATTAGTCTGCTGCGTATCTTTTAGATATTAAGTCGAACTACTTAACGGTAATAAGTAGTCTAGACTATGTTAAATGGTTTCTACGGCTCAATTGATGAAGAGAATGCTATTGTTTTGTTATAACAAATCATTTATCTTACCATATCAACAGTTTAGTGTACAATTTGATTTACGATAACATTGTTTTTCTCCTACTACTCATACCTTTGTGATACAATGTTTATCATGAAATGTGTCTATATATATAAAGATTAGTGGAGCATTTTCAATTTTTTAGACTCATGTTTAATTGTACTCTTTACGACATAGACTATACCCAGATGTCTAATAGTCTGGTGTGTGTAAATTCTCAATGTTCATTTCACCCTCCATAATAGACAGATTTCAAGTGACGTGCGTAGTCGATGAGCCTAACTTCTTTACACTCAAACCCTGATAGTTGAGGCAGTGATACAGATCGGTTCTAGAAAGAAAACATTTTTCATTTTAAGACAGAAACGCACCGCATTGCTATTGTTGTTCAATGCGATTAGAAGACTGCATTTTTTCATCATCCATACCAAACAGAATTGTGTTATTCATGCATCCTAGGTAACACATCTGAAGTGATGATCATAGCTTAATATAAGAAACTTGGACTTCATAAATGAGTTATTTATTTTATTTTATTTGAACACATAAATATTGGTACAAGAGGGCACCAAATATATATGCGCCACACAAATCTTCATTTTATTCGTGTGTGGGCTGTGATACTGTCCGGGTGCCCAAACCGAAGCAGGTGGTTCACTTAAGGAGCTACACACGGAGCCTTCGACCTAAAGGTCTGATTCACAAGGCAGTAGAGCATCGTGAGGAGATGCAGTCCCATGGTAGCCGGCGACCAAGAAATTGGTTCATACGCCATTCGTTCCCGCAGGATATTGGAGCCAGCCCATGTGCACCATTGATTTGGGATCCGGTTAAAGCCGGTGCCGGACATTCGCTTTTTGTCCTCTCATTTTCGTAAACAACACCCGTAGTGCGAGAAGTCAGTGAGTAGGACTTCCCTGGCAGAGGCTGTATACACGTGGCCATGTGAGAGTATTTCGAGAGGTAGGGCGAACCCACCCCACTCTCGGCCATACCAGAACATTTGGGTTAATACAAGATTAATAATGAAATGCACAAACAACTTACTGATTGCCATGAGTATTTATCATTTCGTTCAGGTACTAATGAATAATGCCGAGATGAAGAATTCGTATATTTACCATTATCATCCATAAATTTGGAGCTAAAATACAAAAAAAATGAATAAGATATTTATGAAATGGAATTGACAAAAAACAAGTAAAGAGAAATACTTCGTTTCAAGCACATTTTTCACCATATATATATACATAGCATATCAAACGTTACACAGTTCAAAAGTAACTATAGAAATATATCAAAACTTCGACATTTTGATAAAGATTATTTAACCACTATGTAACTCTTATTGATTCCTCCTTTTTGTATAATGATGTGAATTGCGACAATCTGAATTGATTTAAGCACTTGTATCAGAGATCTTAACCTATTCTGACGAATAAATCAAATGAATGAGAAGTATTTATCCAATATCAGATATTTTATGAAAGGTTCCATTGCATTTTTTTTCAACTGTTTAAAAGGATAAAATAGAATGATTGATCATATGGAAAGAATGTTTTTGGCATTGATTTTTAATCAGTAACAACAACGCTTTAAATCAATTACAGATGAATTATTTCAGGAAACACCAATACTACCATCCACCAATCTATCTCCATTCCATTCAGATAGTTAAATTTCACTAGTAAAAGCTTATTCAATAGGAAAATATTTTTTTGATTCAGTGTCTTCTCATCTCGTATAACGAAGAATATTAAAAAATATAATATGAAGGGATAAAATTAGAAATGTATCTGTTATATTCTTCTGTCTGCTCCTAAATGCCCTGGTACAGCCGAGAGTGGGGTGGGCCCGCTATCCCTCTCGAAATGCTCTCACATGGCCACGAGTATATAGCCTCTGTCAGGGAAGTCCTACTCATTGACTTCTCTTACTACGGGTGTTGTTTACGAAAATGGGAGGACGAAAAGCGAATGTACGGCACCGGCTTTAACCGGATCCCAAACCATTGGTGCACATGGGCTCCAATATCCTGATGGAACAAATGGCATATGAACCAAACGTTGGTCACCGGCTACCATGGGACTGCTTCTCCATACGACGCTCCACTGCCTTGTGGATCAGACGTTTAGGTCGAAGAAGGCTCGGGGTGTGGTCCCCTAAGAAAGCCACCTGCTTCGGTCTGGGCACCCGGACAGTATCACAGCCCTCACACATATCAAATGAGATCTGTGTGGCGCATATGTATTTGGTGCCTTCTTCTACCAATATCTATGTGTTAAAATAAATAAATATAAACTATCGTTCCCTGACCACAAGATACGTCAATCGACTCTTCCCAAATAAAAATAACAATTAATAATCAATAACATTTCTGTATTGTGATAAGTTGAATAACAAAGAGACGTTAATAAGAAATATTCGAGTTAATATAGAATTTGCATAAGAATCGTTTGTCAATTTTTCAGTTCGTTCACTAGCCCTAATTTGAACCTCATTAGATTATGTAATAGTAAAAACTCTATTCTACTAAAAGTAACTGAGATTGACATAACTAGACAACAGACTTGACAATTACTAAGAAAAGAGATCGAATAGCACTTTTTCGTTACTCTGAAAAAACTCTCAGTACAGAATCTAAACTAGGATGCTCACGGTCCCAACTGACAAATCGAATTGTTTGCAACGACTCAGGAGATTTGTTAAAACCAAGTGGAAATTATTATTATTTATTTTAACACATAGATATTGGTACAAGGAGGCACCAAATACATATGCGCCACACAGATATCAATTGATATATGTGAGGGCTGTGATACTGCCCGGGTGCCCAAACCGAAGCAGAAAGCCGGCGACACCCGGTATTCCCAGCCGGTCAACCATGCAAGTACTGCCCGGGCCCAACGTTGTTTAACTGCGGTGATCAGACGAGAATCGGTGCTTTCAACGTGGTATAGTCGCCCTTAAAATAAATATGGAGGACAAGACTTTGATAAAGCATGCTGTCTTACATGACAATATGATTTTGATATACTCGGATAAAATTGGATGGATAAAACTGAATCTTAATATTTTGTTTAATCTCATAGATATTCTCAAAAAACCTTGAATCTAATGACTACGATTCAAAATGTGAAACAATGCCTGGAAATTAGGCCCAATAGTTACATCTCAATCGATTAAACAATCAGTGACCTCTATAGGCCAATTTACTCCAATTCCCCATCACATTCTATCATGTTTATTTTCTGTTCACATATTATTATATCACATACAAAATATATTCATACAACTAATAGTCTTATCAGTCATCTCTAATCATTCAACGACTTCTGTCAATAATGCATACAGTCTCGTAACTAAGCATCACTCGATCACATATCATATCATTGTGTTCATCTATAAATAACCACTCTACGCAGTGATTTTAACAATTGAAATTCTGCCTCATTAATTGTTAAAAGCCTCTTCCATAACACTATATTCTTATGAAGAGTTCAAGCCTAATAATGCTGATGCATTGTGTTTTGATGATATCTCCACATCTAGTAACTCTGATGTACCACAATTAATAAACACTTTTTCCGCATCTGTTTTAGCTCTGGACACCGCAAAAACAAAAGTCAAGCATCGGAAGAAGAAACAAGATGGAAACTCAATTCAATTGTTATTAGGAAGCATAGTAAAGATATTTCAGTACTAATCAGAAGACAGATGCTCACGTTTCTCGGTATTTACCTCTACTAAAAATTATAAATGGATGTGACATACACATCGCATAAAAAGGAACTGCACAAAAAATCCATGAACTATTTTCGTAGGCTGAGGAATCACATTTATGATTAGGATGGATATAATCTCGAACAACAGTTCAATATCGATCAGCCACCTTGGCGTTCACAATCCCATAAAGCTCTGTAAAAAAAAAACAACCTTATAAAATTGCTCAACTTCCTTCGCTGAGGCTAATTTCTGCTTATTCATGTGCGTCAGTACTCAAAAAGGTTTTCAACAGTGCTGCTGAACCGGATGAAAGACTCAGTAGACGCCCAACTTCGAGATCAACAAGCTAGATTCCGTAAAAGTTGGTCGTGTAGACCAAATCGTGATACTAGGTTACGTGTGAATCGTCAAACGAAATTTTTTTTTAAAGACACATGAAATACGTAGGATTGAAACCTGTTATAGACCTGACAGAGAAAAAAACAAACACCTCTAAACTTCATTCAAAAAATTTCTTCAATACAAAAATCAAAGATGAATTTTTCGACTAAGCACGGAATACCATGATAAGTATTACGCTGATAATTGGAGAGACTGCAAAACATGTATTATTACGGAATTATGAATATTTATGCAACAAGATACCTAGAACTATTCAGTCTCTAAGTTGATTAACAAAACTAAACACTTTAACTAATAGGCATTATTCGATTCACAACTGGAGCATATAGTAATACAAACTGAATAACTATCGTATGCTTAAACGGAGTGTAAACATTGCAATTACAGAGATTGAAAATTGACATACTCAGCCCAATCTGGAACTTTATCATAACGTGCACTGGCAGAAGTAGTTGTTGTTTTCGTTGCTGGTGTTGTAGATGAATCATGCTCCTCGGATAAGGTTGTATCTCTTAACCAGGATTCCAAATCTGAATGGCAACTGGTCATTTTATTTGATCCAGGATAATAGTCAGGGGTTTGATAATCATTATGATTATAAAAGTTTCGTTTATCTGAGGATAAAGATGGCAGATCACCGGTTGTTTTTACATGACTTATACTGGTAGATTTATTATTACGTACATTAGCGGCTTCTTCATCCCAATCCTCCCCAGACGCTTCAGTTGCAATCTGTAACAATAAAAGAATGACCAAAGCAGATTAGTGTGCTCACGTGTACTCTATGTTGAGTCACACTTAACAAAGAAGAGTAAGAGATCACACTATGCTGCACAAACTAAAAGTAGGTGGGGCATAACTGATATTCGTAACCCAATGGATTAAAATCGTTTCTGGATCCCTGAGTTACATATCCAAGAAAAAAACATAGATAGGTACGGAATGAGTGTGTTATTCTTTAGAAAAAGACCTTTTCTACCACTCAACTGTCTTATAATCGAATATGAATCCATTTAAAGGCTTTCTTAAACAAATCTGTCATGTGAGCAATTATCACTTGGAGATATTGTATTATTGCATATTATCACTCGATTGGTACATTTCATCTATTAATTAGACGACTAATAAAGGTCTATTAATTATAAATCATAAAAGGGTAAGTTAAATTGTGATGTTTAAACCCGTAAAATTGTGCTTAAATAGTTGGACGAAAGATACTAACATTATTTTCAACTCCGCATTAACTAAACTTAAATTTCCTAAACGTCTACACTACATAGAAATTTTATGAGGAAATATCGGTACAAGAACATTTCAAAACTTTTCAAGCTTAATTTTCAAAATTAGCCCACAGTTGACAAGTGTACTGTTAAAATTCCAGCTAAATCTACCACTCAACAATAATTGACAAGATTTTTAGCCCTAGAGGAGGATTTGGGGAGTTATGTGTTATCTGACCTAGGCGGTTTAATCGTGAAGTTTTTATTGTCCTTCCAGACAACATCATTATCACATATTTGAAAAAGAAGTGAGCTATTAGCTATTTAGTTTTCAGTAATGAAAAGCAACTAAAAACAACGGAACATATCAAGTTAAGGTATCAACAAATTATTCATGAAAAATGCATTTCTATCCAATATCTGTATGAATAATATCTTGTAAGACAAAAAAAGCTTTAGTAAATTTAAATTATAAATATAAAACACTTCCAAGGTCATATTTACTGAATGACTAAATCATTATCACCTTCAATCGCGGTGATTGAGATACTTTACTTGAAGTCCAAATTTATTTGAACTTCATGTTGTGCAGAAGTCTTCACAACCGACCTAACAAACAAAGTGTAAAAGACATTCCTAATATCAATAAATACTTACTAAATATCCTTAGAATAGTTTATAAGAACAAGTCCGTGTCTTAAGAATGTTAGTAAGCAGTGGAATTAAATGAGTTAATCTGTAACGCTGAAAAATTAGTGGACAGTTATTTTAATCGAATTTCATGATACATAACATAGCAACAACTCAACGATGTACATATATGGTGGGTTGTACGTCATTCATTCCGTTATGGTCAATGTAGAACCTGTGACGAACGAACCTCAGTACAACTTACCATAAGAAATCGGCATAACAAGTGATTAACGAAACAAATATCAAAGTCAAAATAACAGCAGTATCAATGATAATATACAGGTCTTAGCATAAGGAATATGAGTCAGAAAGGAAAAGTGAAAAATACTAAAAATTATAGAATACTATCAAAGCTCAAGAATCAAAGAAACGTGAAAAATAAATGCACCTGAGCTATTGTGATCAGATTTAGAGCCATTTCATTCAGGATCTACAAGCACTGACCACGATTATCGCATAGAATTCGACCTGGTAGTCTACACATACCAGTATGACTCAGACAAAAAATTCAACAACTTTATAGGCTAATGTTACATCTTGATGTGGCTGCTCCCAACTTTCTTTTAATATACTCCTACCCTAATTATCACTGAGCGTCAAGGTAGATGGTGATTAGTTATACGCAACACGATTCACTGTAATCTACTACTATTGGGTAAGAGCGTAAATCTGAAAGTAATGTGATTTAAGCACCAAACGTACAGCCAGAGGTACAAATTAGAATCTTACCCTACCAGTTGTTTGGGAGAAGAGGCATTATATTAACTCCTACACAAGCCCAACAAACAACCCACTGGAGGACCACGGCAGATTAAATGGATTTAATTATAATGCAATTACTGAGTAATGAATACCTTGGTCACTGGTTAACCAAGATAATGATTATACTATACTAACCTTATCTCTCAACAAAGCAGCAGCTTTACTATTATACTTTTCTTGAAAACTCCACTGAGGTCTGTAATCAGGTTGTGAAACGAAAAACTCCTTAGCATGTCTGTTGCCTCCGACTTTCATTTTTTCCAATTCCAACTCCTTCCATTTATCCATGTTAATTGAGCGAACAAAACTGATTATGAGAATAACACAAAAATAAAACTACATTAGACACTACTTAACATGTTAAAGGACAAAAAAATATTTCTTCAATAACGATACAAACTAACTCCTATCAGATTTTTGGATGTCATAGAACCACTACTAACTGGTTTCAAAAAAATGTACCGCAAGAAATTCGCTTACATAGACTAATAGACTTGGTAATTACGAAAGTTGCTGTGAAACCGTTTAGAAAACTATCTCATTATTTCAACACTGTGATAATTAACTAGTTCTCACAGAAACGATGATAGAAAACCAGAGCAAAGGTTTTAGAATAACCGAACAATACTTATCACAAAATAACTTACCTCAAATGAACCCCTAATCCACGATGTTTTCCTGAACACTCTAAACATATCCAAATACCATATGTAACGCTAGCCCATTGAGGATTTGGCGACCCACATTCGAAACATAACTACAAATGAAAATAAATACTGATTATAAAACCTGTGATTTAATAGGATATATCTTAAAATCATGACTGTTTAGATAAAACTTTGTCTGGTACTCATTTTGTTTAGACCTGCATGCAAGCAATACAACTGTGAACATACTTAAATGTTTACATCAGGAAATAAAGCTGATAGTCAACATTAGGCACCCGAGAATAAACACAAGCATCTTTAAAGAATTTATGCAGCAATATAATATCCCATACGAATATAGCTTGATGAAAATTAAGCAGATAACAAGTACTACCACATTCCCAGAGTAAGATTTAAAAATCAATGAAATCCCAAGGTAGAAACATTGGTGTTAAATATTCTACAGACATAACACTATTTTTTATTGTGATTTATTTTCTTGACGGGGTGAACAGTTCGAAAGAACAGTTGGAAAGGTGTACTTGGCTAGTCAATATATATATATATATATATATATATATATATATATATAATTCAGACCACTGCAGAGTAATAGTTGTAGTAGGTTAAACTATATGATCCTAGTTTTTATCCCAAGATTGAATTAATCTGAGGCTGGCGTTACTTCTGATTTTCGTCGACTGATCTCGTTACTAAATGTAAGTGAATTATGTGCGCTTGCTGGGTCGTCAACTTACCTTTTCTTTAGTCCTTCAATTTCCCAGCCCTCCCCACTTACGCTAATGAGTGCTACTCTGGTACATAAAGCACCCACTGGCTATGCGCGGATGGTTACACTAGTATTTCAGTAATGTTTTCTGATTTCAGTCTTCAGTAACAAGGATAATAAGTTGGTGGACAGCGAAGGTCCAGCTTCTTCTCCATAAATTTAGTTCACTTTGCTGTAGCCAACTAGATATGCCTTAATGTAAATTACATGATACAATGTTCAAAAACAGAATAAATTTTGTTCTCCACCTCACTAACTTAATGTCGATAATTTGGCCGCACTGAAAATGAGACACGGATACTAAGTCAACAAGACGAAAAGTGGAAAAAACAGTCAGTCATTCACATAGAGGCAAACAATGACATACATGGTTCGCATTTGTCTTCTTGACATCCATTAGCACTCGCCGTGTCCTTGGGCTAGCCATCCTAAATTTCTGAAGACGTCGAGCACACTCGACAAGAGCGCGAGTTGTGGAAGGCCGAGAATATTCAATGATTTAGATTTCAAGTTGTGAGGACAGAACACCAGAGGCCATCAATTATCTTTCTCTAACATGCCTTTGTAGCGGTAAATAATTCCCCAAAATAAATAGCTCTGTAGGTTTTCGACATTGGATGCTGACCACATTAGTTTTAATTGAATCAACTAGTTGAAGGCGCTCGGTCATGCATCCGCACCAGATCACGAGTGGGAACGCCGTGCTCAACATCTCCTCCAATTGCTAGCCAGATTAGATCAAATGACCCTCGAGATATTGATAGTCTATCAAATATATCTTCTAATCTCCTCGCTTCTGTCTTTTGATTTCACTTGGTGGGTACGATTCATATTAGGGGTTACTGGTTAAAGCATTGTCAAACTCTGAATACCTGTGGCATCTTCATTGGTGAGCCCGACGTTATCTGGTACACCAAATTGCAAACTGCGAGTCTGTTCCTTTCTGTGATTTTATATATCACTGTCTTATTTTAATTTTTTATACATTGTGATAATTTTTCCCCGTGTTTTTCGATATATATATTTTCCCACTCCTTCAAATGGTTCAACTGGTTGATATTTCACCATGACTGAACAGACACCTAAAGTATTAAAGTTAAAGACTATATCCTCACCTTCCTTCCAACTTATGCCTTTTTGGCCAGACAACATCGAAGCCTGAGTTCGCTACGCAGAAGCCGACTTCTACGAGCACGGTATGAACGACACACGCGCACAATTCCTCGCAGTAGTCAAGGCACTACCGCGCGAATTCAACAGGTACGTAACACCTAGTATGTTTACTAGTGATGTTTCTGATCCATACCAAACACTGAAACAGGCCATCCTTAAACGCGGAGATCTAACCGATCGACAAAGGTTAGACCAACTCCTTAACAACATCGACCTGCAACACGGTTCTGCCACAGACATGTTGCAAAGAATGCGAGAAGTCATTGGCCAAAGAACCTTCGATGACGGCCTATTCAAGCAACTTTTCTTATCCAAACTTCCTCAACAGGTGCAAGCTGTTTTGGTCTCGTTCCAAAACAACGCCGTAGACGAACTAGCGGCATCTGCCGATCGCATTCTCGAGATCACTAGGTCTCCTAACGCCGAGGTGTTTTCAGTCAAAGAAAAGCCTCAAACGACCCAGAATGACATAACACAGTTATGTCATACACTTACGCGTTATCTCAAACTCCGTAACAATCGTAAACGGCCACTTACCTCGCGAAGAACCACATCACGTAGGCGGTCTGTATCTAGACCTCGAGAGACGAATAATCCTGACTGGTGCTGGTATCATAACCAGTATGGAAAGTCCGCCAGAAATTGCAGAAAACCCTGCAACCTTCCCAACGCAAAATCGGTCGATGCGAAGAAGGTTTCGGGAAACTTCCAAGCCGGCACGCGTTAACGGCAACCGTAGCCGGCGAACATAGCCGTCTTTTATATGTTACTGATGTGATAACGAGAGTTCGCTACCTCATCGATACTGGCGCAGAAGTTAGCGTTCTCCCAGCGAATCCCAACGACCGGCCTCACGAGTCGGTCTTAAATCTTCAGGCGGCAAACGGAAAGCCCATCGCTATGTATGGCAAAAGGTACGTTTATCTCAACGTGGGTTTACGAAAACCCATTCACTGGATCTTTGTTGTTGCAGATGTTTCTATGCCAATCATTGGTATGGACCTTTTACAACACCACAACTTCATTATCGATACGCGCAAACGGAGGCTAGTAGATGGAAATACCAATTTATCTGTTCGCCTGACTTCTTTTTCTGGTTGCAGGTTATCTCCAGTCACTATTAAGCACATTATAGAACCCTTCTATCACTCAGTACTCGATAAGTATTCTGGCATTTACCAATCACAACCGAAATTTTTGTGTGTAACCAGCAACGTTACACATCATATCACGACTCCAGGACCACCTGTATTCTCCAAAGCGCGCCGACTGGCCCCCGAAAAGTTAAGGTTGGCGAATAACGAATTTGACCATATGATAGATTTAGGAATCATACGACCGTCAAATAGCCCATGGGCATCTCCGTTGCACATGGTCCCTAAAAAGGACAGCAACGATTGGCGTCCAACTGGTGACTATCGGAGATTGAATGCAAAAACCGTTCCCGATCGTTACCCGTTGCCCCGCATTCACGATTTGACAGCTACCTTGAAAGGTACAACTGTCTTTTCGAAAATCGACTTAGTTAGAGCGTATAACCAAATTCCTATGGCCACTGAAGACATTCCGAAAACCATTATTATAACGCCCTTCGGGTTTTTTGCGAATGCCTTTCGGTCTAAGAAACGCGGCACAGACTTTCCAAAGGTTCAGAGATGACGTTTTTCGAGGTCTCAACTTCGTACATGCGTATGTTGATGACTGCCTAATAGCAAGTCCAGACAGAGAATCACATCTCCAGCATCTGGACCTTGTTTTCGACCGACTACAAGAACATGGTACTACTGTAAACATTCAGAAATACCATATCGGAACCGACTTCTTGGACTTCTTATGGCACATTATAGATGCTCAAGGTATCCGACCCCTCAGAACAAAAGTGGCGGTCATTCTAGATTACCCAGAACCGACCACCATCAAGCAATTGCACATGTTTAACGGTCTGGTAAGTTTTTATAGACGATTCATACCGAAATGCGCGTTACTTATGAAACCCCAACTCCGTGGAAATGCGAAATCCATCAATCTGGATGACACCGCACGAAAAGCATTCTCCACGGTTAAAAAACGTATCTCTCAAGCAACAGTGCTTGCTCATCAGGACCCTAAAGCTCCCATTAGTATCGCAGTAGACGCATCCGACTCAGCAATCGGAGCAGTCTTACAACAATGAGTTAACCACTCCTGGCAACCTTTGACGGTCGCTAGACACTGAATCGAGGTACAGCACATTCGGTAGAAAACTCCGAGCTATGTATTGTGCTGTCCGGCATTTTCAACACTATATCAAAGGCCGTGAATTTACCATTTTTACCGACCATAAACCACTTACTTTTTCCTTAAGCTCTTCTTCGGACAAGTACTCACCACGTGAGTCTCGACAACTGGACTACATTTCGCAGTTTACTTCAGATATTCGAAACATTTCTGGAGCAAACAATGTAGTTGCAGACGCCTTGCCTCGTATAAATTCCTTGAACAGTTTCCAAGGAATCGACCTTTTAAAACTCGCCCAACTTCAAAAAGAAGACAGTGATCTTCAGCACGAGTTGGCCTCAACAACACTTAAACTGCGCATTAAACAGATGGGAACAGGTAAGGAAACCTTACTTTGTGACACATCTACAGGTAGGGATCGTCCAATCGTGCCGAAACAATATCGACACAACGTCTTCAATACGTTGCACAGACTTTCTCATCCAGGTGTTCGTGCAACCATCAAGCTTATAGAAGAACGGTTTTGCTAGCCTGGTATGAATAAAGACGTGAGGGAGTGGGCACGCTTCTGTTTAAGCTGCCAGAAATCTAAGGTTATAAGACATAACAAATGTCCCTTAGGCTCGTTTAAAACTCCCGATGCTCGCTTCGACCATGTTCATTTGGATTCGGTAGGACCTTTACCAGATTCAAATGGATATTCTTATCTTTTAACATGCGTAGACCGTTTTACTCGATGGCCAGAAGCAGTACCCATCAAAGACATTACTGCTAAAACAGTGGCCCGCGCCTTCGTTGAGCGATGGGTAGCAAACTTCGGCTACCCAACAACCATCACTACAGATCGTGGACGCCAGTTTGAAGCTGAACTTTTCCGTTGTCTGACCGCGAAACTAGGAATCACTCGCTTCTGAACGACAGTCTACCACCCACAAGCAAACGGGTTAGTGGGACGTTTTCACCGACAACTAAAAGCGTCACTATCAGCCTCGAACATTTCTCAGTGGACTGACGCTCTCCCACTCGTTTTACTAGGCATACGAAATGCAGTGAAAGCTGACATTGGATACACTGCGTCACGACTCGTTTATGGTACGACCCTTCGACTTCCAGGAGAATTCGGGAATCCTTCATCCTCTTCGATGGACATGGATCTAACCCCCTACACGAACATGCTTACGAACGCAATGCGTTCAGTTAAACCTGTTTCCACTCGACCACAATCAACTGATGTTTTCGTTCAACCTGACTTACGATATAGGACACACGTCTTCGTACGTCGAGACTCGCATCAACGACCACTCGAAGCAACATATGAAGGACCTTTCAAAGTTCTTCAACGCGAATCAAATTACTATATAATCGATAAGAACGGAACCAACAAAAGCATCAGTATCGATCGTCTCAAAGCAGCGTATTTAGAAAGAAATCCTATTCACGTCGATTTTCCTTCAATACAATCGCACTACACAACTCCTGCCCTTATAATACCTCAATAGACAGCCGACACACACGTTGATACTTCGGAGGTATCAGAAAATAAACCCAAAACAACGCGTTCTGGAAGAAGGGTAAGATTTCCAGAACATTCGAACTATTACTGCACGTAAGATACAAGTTAACATTTTATATCATCTCGATTTTCCCTTGCACTATATATAATTTTTAAAAAAAAACCGAATTTAATATGTTTACATATTCTTATTTTTATTTCAAAAAAAGAAAACAAAACAAAAAAACGATATTATAAAATCTTTTTTTACGCTATTACGTGAACATGAGTTTATTTTCCTTTTTTCCCCCATTTTGTGTTTTCACGCGCGTACGAGTGTATTCCGATATGCACTTACATATATTTTTCTTTTCCAGGACGGCTGGAAAAGGCGATAAAAAGAACGATGAAGTTGCGAAAAAAGAAAATCTTCATTGTACCTTTTCTTTTTTTACTAAATTATAGATCATTGTCCCTTATAGTAAGGAAGGACGACCAGACGCTGCTAAACAATTCAATAACATATCCCTTTGTTTGACATTTTA